ACTGTCCCTGCTTAGCTTTGGGACACATCTTGGCCGGATGCCTAATTTCTCTACAGTGATAACAACGTCCCGTAAAAGGACCTGCCTACCTTCTCTGTTGATTTCCCGACCACTGTTCCTGTCCGGTCTGAGTTACCCCACCTTGTCTACCCTGATTAGGGACTCCATCCCTCTACACATCTGGGTTTCCTTTGTTTTCCTTCCAAGGTTGATGTCCTTGAAATCTGCCCCGATCATTGGACTTGGTACCACTGCTGCTTCCTTTCTCCACTGTCTGGTAGTCTCGGTTAGCCCACTTATCTCCCTTGGACTTCCGGTAATCACTCCTCATCTGGCAGTGCTGTAAAGCGGCATTAACCACCTGGATATAAGTAGTATATGTAGGACTACCTATGATCACCACTTTAATCGGCCATATCAACCCCTTCACAAAGCGGTCTCTCTTCTTTCTTCCGTATTGACCTCCTCTGGTGCAAATAATGACAAATTAATGAACTTCTGTTCATACTCAGCCACAGTCATATCCTCCTGTTGCAGATCCAGAAATTCAGTCTTCATCGCTGATCTTACTGACATAGGAAAATACTTGTCATCAAAGCGAGTCTGAAATTCAGCATAAGTCAATCTGGTCCTCTCTTCGACAGTAGTAATAGACTCCCACCACTGCAATGCATTGCCTATCAGCATAAACGTAGCTAGCATCTGTTTCTGCACTTCGGTACAGATTACCATCCGAAGATGACGCTCGCTCTCCTGTTTCCACTGATATGCTAACAAGACATTTGTGGACCCCGCAAACGATGGTGGATTCCCTCTGATAAACGAGTGACGAGTTTTGTCCCATGACATTGGCTGTGCCATTGGTTCAGGAACAGGTACTATCGGAAGAGGTTGCTGGTTTCGTAGAGCAGATGCTACTCCTGCTGCTACAGCTCGTGCAATAATATCAGCAACTTGAGGGGAAAATTCCTGATTCTCATTTTGAGTTGGGGAAATACTGCGATGACGGTTCGCATTCCTTGTCCCACGCCGAGACATCCTTCTTTTGGATTCAGAAAAATCTAACGTCAGTACATTATAATGGACCGACTAAAAGAATACAAAGAACCCTAATACTTAGGCGCTAATTATCAGAATACACAACGCGGAAGTATAGTAATCACAGATCCCTAAGACACTCGAACCTGGAATGCTTTGATACCAACTGTGACACCCCCAACATTTTCCACACATAAGTTGATCAGGCTTATACACGAAAAAACGAGGGATATCAAAAACATTTGGCAATATACAAGCATGGAATACAAAATGATAATAATAAAAAAATTTAGACAGGAAAGGAACACTAATTAATAAAACCTCCATCCATCCTTTATTTAATACAGTACTCCATTACAACTTGGAAATCCTATGTCAAGGATCCCTAAATATAAACCTGAGAATTCAACGTCAAAAGTAAATAAAAACTGAAACTGAAGTAATACATAAAACTTCTACCCTGAACTGGATCGTAAAAGTAGATGAGTTCGGATGGTGGTCCCACACTGCTAACCTCAACCTTGGAACGGGTACAGACCGTATCCTGAAATAACAACAATGGTGGGTCAACCCCACGAGCAAGTCCTCTCTACTATGACCCAAATCAGAGAATCAAATAAATTAATCATTATGAATCGGACGAGTACTATATCTGTATACATCCTAAGGGAACTACCCAATGTATAACATGACCTCAACCAGAATAAACGGTGATCACTTAGACCCACACTAGGTGGTTAAGTGTCGCCTTTCCCTACCCGGGAAATCAGCTATTATACATGGTGCACGGTACTGACAACACAGACTATAACGAACTACACAGTGATAACACCTCTCAAAGTACTGATGAATATACTGAGCATATAAATTAGGCAACACATGCCAATAATATTACTAAATATACTGAGTACTTCAATTAGGCAACACATGCCAATAATAGTAAACCACATACCCCGACAGCCACACATCTGTCTATCGCAACGAATGCATAAGGTATAAATGAGTCTAAACTTATTAGCCAGCTCACATGGTTCTATATGGCAACACATCCATATAATATAAATGCGACATAATTAAACAGTCCATTTATTTCCTGAAATGCACACAGCATAATAATCATGGTTTATATATCATTTAACAGTATAAACATCCCATAAGATATCATGGATAATTTATATGACTAAAACCATGGCATTATTTAATTTAACAGTAATGTTTGATACCATTTAATAAGATAATAACGCTATATATATTTAACAATGTTGTTAAATAAATCACATTAATATCCGTACTGTAAACGAGCCAATAAATGCCTAGAAAAGATTAATCGGCCATAAGAATAATTAACGGGTATTAAAATAACAATTTCGTGACCCGTTAAACCCGTAAATACCAACACAGTACCTAAAAAACCAAGTTTAAGGTTCTGGAATTTACAAAACAGGCCCTAGGGGTATTTTGGTAATTTCCAGCAGCTGACAGGGCCCTTCACGCGCCCCCACGCGCCGCCCTAAGCTCCCCCACGCACAGCCCTATGTTTTCCACTCTCCCACGCGCCTCCACGCGCGTCTGGCATCAGCCACGCGCGCGCACGCGCTCCCACGCACGCGTTTAAGTCTCCTACAGACGTGGCACCTCCTGGTTGGTTGGCTGTATTGACTTGCTGTGGGTGCGCTACACAGGATCACTTCATCTGATCTCACCTAATCCAAGGGTCAATGATCCGGGTGTACCGCGGTAACATGGACCGCGATGCACCGGATCAATCAGGTTCATCTAAGGCCCAGGATGCGCACGCCCGCTACCCTAAAGTACGCCGCATCACACCGGATTACTCCGGTCATCTCCCCCACATCCGGTGGCCGGAAAACTCGCCGGAGTCTCGCCAGAAATTGCAGAAAAGCCCCGGAAAAATCTAAAAAATTCTAGAAAAAACCCTAAAGCCTTATTTAAATATTTTCAGCCATTATTAATCTCATAGGATATTACATAAATATATACCGTCCTATATAATTAAAATTTCATTAATTTAATAAACTAAAATTAATAATTTATTAACCTCTTAACCTGGTCTCTATGCATAAAAATAAACTAAACAATTAATTTATTAATTCAAAGGGGAAAAGTAGATAATAACTTGCCTTTTGGATTTAAAATAAATCCGCCGGTTACGCGTAGTCGGGTAAATTTCTCCTACACTGGTCCAAGCTCCTTTCTTTCTCTCTCTTCCTTTCCACACTTTTACAATGGCTCACTGAAAGTTATAACTTTTTCTAACTCCCTTTCATTCCTTCTAAGGTAGGCTAACTAATTTATATACAATTTATATAATATAAATATTACAAATATCTAATTTTACATTTAACTAACCACATTCCCAACCATATGGCTTCAAGTCTACCTATAAACATTAATGAAATCCTATCCTAATCTCTAAGTTCATCATGACATTATGATTTAATACTATTATTATTATTATAACTATTATTATTATTATTAATAAACTATTATAATTATTATTATATTATTATTATTATTAATAAACTATTATAATAATTATTGTTATATTATTATTATTATTAATAAACTATTATAATTATTATTATTATTACATAAGAATACATTATATCATCATAATACTTTATAACACAAATATAATACTTTAATTATCTAATATTGCTTAACTAAACATAATCAACAAATAAAATGATTAATAATAATACATGCACAATTAAATGAACTCAATATAAGAATGGTAAAGAAATCTACACATTAATTAATTCAAATAAACTAAACTCTTTAATAAAATACGGGGTATTACATTGATTATCTGGAACATGGAAAACTTCCTGAAGACCTACGCCACAAGACTGAAATACGAAGACGAGCACCTCATTTCATCTATTACAATGATACGTTGTATAGACGTTCATATGTGGGTCTTTTCCTTCGCTGCCTTGGAAATGACGAAGCAACCCATACAATGAAGAAGGCACATTTTGGGATTTGTGGAGCCCATCAATCTGGTCCAAAGCTTCAATTTCGTGTCAAAGAATGAGTTATTGTTGGCCCACCATGGTCAAGGACTGCATGGAGTATGCGAAGAGGTGTCAAGGCTGTCAATTCTATACTAACTTCATACACCAACCACCAGAACCGTTGCGCCCTATTGTGACGTCATGGCCATTTAATGCATGGGGAATAGATGTAGTTGGTCTTCTAGACAAGTCTTCAAAGGGCCACTTATATATCTTGGCTGCCACTAATTATTTTTCTAAATGGGCAGAAGCTGCACCCTACAAACATGTGAAAAAGGAAACAAAGGTTGATTTCATCAAGTCTAACATTATTTATCAATATGGTGTCCCTCGATACATCATTACTGATAATGGGACAAATTTTAAAAACAGTTGGGTAACCGACCTTTGCAAGAAGTTTGGTTTCAAATAACGTAAATCCTCCATGTACAATGCCCTGACAAATGGTCTCGCGGAAGCATTCAATAAAACTCTTTGTGAGTTATTGAAGAAGGTAGTCAACCAGACGAAGAGAGATTGGCATGAGCGAATGGAAGAAGCATCGTGGGCATACCGCACTACGCATCGTATGCCTACTCAAGCAACTCCGTATTATCTTGTCTATGGCGTAGAAGCGGTTTTTCCATTAGAACAATTGATCCCTTCGTTAAGGATAGCTATAAAAGAAGGTCTTACAAGTGAAGAAAATGCCATCTTACGTTTTCAAGAACTGGAAGCATTGGATGGAAAGAGATTAGAAGCTTAACAACAGCTAGAGTGTTATCAAGCTCGACTTTCTAAAGCATTCAATAAGAAAGTTCGACCTCGGTTATTTCAAGTTCGAGACTTAGTATTAGTTGTTCGTAGACCAATTGTCATGAATCGCAAGGGAAATAAATTTGTATCCAAATGCGGTGGACCATATGTTGTTCGCGAAGTTTATACTAACGGCGCGTATCTTATTATTGATGAAGACGGAGTAAGAGTGGGGCCCATTAATGGCAAATTCCTGAAACGCTACTACCCATGAAGGATATGCTCCTGATCATATTAGCTTAAACTACACTATGCTCCTGGCCCGCATGAGCTAAAACTGTGTACGACCCAAAAAAAAAAAAAAAAAAATCTGCATACTCCTGGCCCGCAAGAGTATAAACTGTGAACGGCGAAACCAATAAACAATGACAACATCTTTGTTAAACAAATAGAGATAATAAATCATTTGTTTTATTGTTGAGATTCAAAGTTACAACTTTTGGGTTTTTTTAAAAATATATATAAAAAAAAGGATGATGATCAATATTAAAATTCCATAGCTATGATTTCGTCACGTTCTTGCCGTAATATCTCTTCTAGTTGTTTCACTACTTCAAGATCATTATTAGAGATGACGTTAGCTTCTTCCACTGATTTTTGATCTTTCCAAAGTTTGGTGACAACTTCCTTCTTCTGAGATAACTGTGCATCCGTCGTCGATATGAGGACTTTAAGCCCCTGAGTCTCTTCCCTGACTTGTTGCAACTCCTTCACTAACTTGGCTTCTTTAACTTCGGCTTCACTCAAACTAGACTGAAGTGATTGTATACACTTGGCATCCTCATCTTCTATAGACCTACCATTGGTGAGCTGTGTATCAATACTGACCAATCGTTGTGATTGAGAGTCTGAAGTCATCATACAAGCATAGGAAGAAGATGTAGCAACATAATTGGCCGCATTATTCGTATACAAGTCAATTCGCCTCTTCAAAGCTGAATGGTCTCCACGGAGTTTTGCGAGTCCCTCATAAAGTGTTTAAAGTTTAGGTGCTCGAGACTATATTTTGTTGGTAGTAGTATCGCGGATGATACCTTTTATGAAATCAATAAAGAATAAAGCAGCACGGCGATGAACATCAAGAACGACCTCTTCAGCATTGAAAATTGACATTTCGGGTGATAGTATGGGGCTTGAAACTCTTGAAAAACACCATGATTGACTAGCACTCCCTGAAAAAAAAAAAAAAAAAAAAAAGGGTTAGCACTTGAAAATAATAATAATAATAATAAAAATAATAATAATAATAATAAATAAATAAATAAATAAAAATCATCAAAAGTGTGGATTGGTATAGATGGAAGATTTTAGTTCCGAAGGAACAATGGGTCCTTACGGACTAGTTGCGTTTCGAAAGAACAATGGGTCTTTACGGACTAGTTGCGTTCCAAAGGAACAATGGGTCCCAGAGGGACTAAAAGCGTGAAGGAAAATAAAATAAAATAAAATAATAATAATAATAATAATAATAATTTGTTCCAGCAAGCGTGGAGAGAGAAAAAAAAAAAAAAAAAAAAAAAATTTGTTCCAGCAAGCGTGGAAGAGCCAAAAAAAATAAGTTGTTCCAGCAAGCGTGGAATAGCGAAAAAAAAAAAAAAAGAAAAAAGAAAAAAGAAAAAGAAGAAAAATAAGGAAAAAAAAAAAAAAAAAGAAAAAAGAAAAAGAGATAGTCATACCAATTATTTGTGTTCGAGCAGAGGCCGCAATCCAACACAGTCTTAGAAATTGTAATCTGACAAGTCTTCAGAAATTATTGGAATTGATGTCAAACCCTACAATATTGAGGGTATATATAGGCAACAAAATACCTCCAAGTTGTATTGGGATTTAGATAATTCTGTTCAAATAGAAAAGTAAAATTTCAATCCAAAGTTGGATAGGAAAGCAAAAGAGGAAATTTTACAATCCAAAGTTAGATAGGAAAGTGAACAAAAAAAAAAAAAAAAAAGTAAAGTTGAATACTTCAAGTCCCACTTGAAAAAGCATATAAATCCTATTAATCTTGGGACTCGAAGTGGGTGCAATTTGTAGACACTAAAATTTAGTAGGCTTTGGTTTTAATAAATGGACCCATTAAATATGGGCCTAATGTTTAATTAAGTTATTTAATTGGTCTTGGCTTGGTCCACTTAAATTATTTAATTAGCCCAGCCCAGATGATTAAATGAAAAGATAATTATTCCTAATAAAATATATTTGGAATAATTAATTTTAAGGATAATTATCATAATATAACCGGCCCGGCCCAGTGATGATTTTTTTCCTTATCCTGAGATGACACATGTCATCATCCTATTAATCTGAGAAGCCTATAAATAAAGGCCTTGAGGAAGAACAAAGGGGTACACAAATTCAGAGTCTAGAAATCCAAAGATTCAGAATTCAGAAGAAATCCAGAGGGCAAACCTGAAAGCGAAGAACACCAAGCACATCCAAAGTAGTGTCGTTCTTCATCAAATTCTACGGTGATTCAAGAACAAGCTCGTGCAGCCCTTGAATCCAACCAATAACAAAAAAGGAGATCGAATCAGATGACCATTCTTTTTTTAAAGAATATTATTACAAAGGATTGTACTCCAAATATTTCTGATTTAATAAATTATTATTTTGCACATATTTTGTCTTTATTTGCAAAGAACAAAATTTGTGTGTACATATATATATATATATATATATATATATATATATATATATATATATATTTGTTTCTGGAAAACTATTTTTTAAGTGATAAACTGGATAACATTTCTTTGTTTGGATGGAGAAATAGATGATTGGATGGTCTTAAACCAATAGTACCAAAAAAGCAATTTCATAAAATCCATAAACTTATATTCCAAGAAAAAAAAAAAAAAAAAAAAAAAAAAAAAAAAACATAATCTGATATCAATATTGATAGCTATATTGATTTGCATATAGAGTAGACAAATATCTATCAGGTTGGAAGTCTGGCTATTTAAGGCCAACTTAGCTTAATTATGCAGTTTCTTGTTTACAAGATTTGTGATATTTAACATGAATTAGATCTTCTCGTCCCAAAACTCAAGAGCAGATTTGTATGGGCCTTCATCCCATATGAACTCCAGTCCATGATACCCTTTCTGCTGTGAAATTTGACTAATCTTGTGGCAGTCCTCAGGGCTCAATGTCCAATCGAATATCTCAAGGTTCTCTTTAATTCTCTCCTTATTAAAGCTCTTCACAAGAACGCTCACTCCCTGCTCATAAACCCACCTCAAACAAACCTTTGCATGCGGAAAGATGAAGACAATTATAAGTATACTCTCTTTACATACAAGACAAATGATAAAAAGTATCTATAGTTAAGACAATTATAAATATATTCTCTATATGCAAGACAAATGATAAAAGTATCTATAACTTTTTTTCTTTAGGAGTAATGGACACTATTCATATAACGATGAGAGAGAACTTATTCTTATGAATCCTTTTTTTAAATATTACTATATCTATAGATATATGAGTTAAGTGCCGAAAACACTCCTAGAGTTTTATCTGCAACCCTTATAAAATAATGTTTTAATGCCCGTTTGTTATTTTGTCTTTTCAAAAAATGCCTTAAGAGTTATGCATAACATATATTTTCATAGTAGAGTAGTGTTATGTACGCGCACATCAACTAAATTTAACCCACTCTTAAGGTTATTTTGTCTCTCTATATATTTCCTCTACTCTCTATATTTCTCAAAAATAATATATACACTATATAATAAATTAATAAACAAATATATTGATACACTATATAATAAATTAATAAACAAATATATTGATAAAATAAAATTTAAAAAGATATGTATCTCATCATCCACTTTTGCTTCCTGTGCTTAAATATTTTGGATAATTCCTAATTAAAAATAAGATAGATTTTAATAACATCTATAAACTTATATTTCTCTATAAATTTATACATGTATAAATCAAATAAGAATGGAACAAAATAATGTATAACCTATATATTACTGTGTGCATATATAAAATTACATATCATTATATTCATCGAACAAAATATACACAAAAATGATGTATATTTTTTTAAATTATATGTAAAAGGTAATTTGGGGCATATCGTGTTATGTGAAACTTATTTATATTAAATCAATACTTTAGAGATGTTTTGTGCACGTGAGGGGTATGATACGTACTGTAAGCATGGTAAAGAGGTTTTTTCCACACTCAACCCCCTTTTTTCTTCTTCTTCTTCTACTTCATTCATTTTTTTATTTTTTTTTATTTTTTTTTTTTTAATTGGTACTCACAAACGCCCCCCCCCCTTTTTGTGTTCACTTAACCCTTTTAAACTTTTGGCTTTTTTTTTCATCATTTCACAAAATGATATATATATTTTTAAATAATGTGTAAAATGTCTCAAATTTGAGCATAACATGTCAGGCGGGATTTATTTGCATCAAATTATTACTTTGGGAGTATTTTGTGCATATGAAAGTGTTGGGCTGGGCTCCCTCCTAATTAGAGGATAGCCTAAGTGAAGCCCACGTGGGTTTGAAGCCCCCCCCCCCCCCCTCTCCAAACACACACACACACACACACACACACACATATATGTTTATGCTGTATTGAGGTGACAAAGAGAGATGTCTTCTACTACCGAAACTAAAGAGAAAATTCCAAAAACCAAAATTGTTCACGTGCTACCAAATTTCATCAAGAGCTCCAATCAGCAGGTGTTTGTAGTCCGATCGAGCTGAAATTTGGCAGGTTCGCAATATAAGGCTCTACATTCTGAAAGGTAGAGATTGGATTTCGAGCATTCTGGAGCAGTTTTTTGGGTCATTGAATAGTACCTTTGTTTGGTGAGATCTCTCCTTAATCTTTGACTAAAAGATGTTTTGTTGCCAAGAAAAATTATTTCTTGAGATTGTTTACCTCTAGTTCTAACTAGAGTTCTCTCTTGTACACCCATTATTTGTTAATAATGGAGATTTGGTGGACTATAGTCCCGTGGTTTTTTGCTTCCCACACTGGAGAGATTTTTCTACTCTAAAATTGATTGTCATTTGTGTGTATTATGTTAATTATCTTTTTTAGATTATTGTACTCTATTTAATTGCTTCCGAACAGATTTACACATAGAGGGAGAATATATTTTTAGCTAGTTTGTGAGAGATTCAGGTTGCCAGAATCTATCCTTGAATTCTCCCAACAAGTGGTATCAGAGCCAGGTTATTATTATTGTTGAATCGTTTATGTTAAATGATGGAAGCTAACTTAAGTAGAATGGTTATTTTGAATGGTTCAAATTACCACACTTGGAAAAGAAAAATGGAAGACCTTCTTTATGTGAAGCAATTTCATTTATCGGTGTTTGCTAGTAAGAACCCTAATAACAAATCTGATGAAGAATGGGCATTACTACATTGGCAAGTGTGTGGATATATTAGACAGTGGGTCAATAATAATGTTTTGAACCATATTGTTGAAAAAACACATTCACACACACTTTGGAATAAGCTTGAGCAGTTGTATGCCCGGAAGATTAGAAATAACAAGATGTTTTTGATAAAACACTTGATGACTTTGAGATACCAAGATAGGACTCCAATAATAGATCACTTGAACACTTTCCAAGGAATAATTAATTAGCTGGTTGGAATGGGTATTAACTTTAATTATGAGGTACAAGGGTTGTGTCTGCTTGGTACATTGCCGAACTTATGGGAGACCTTTAGAATGTCATTGTCTAATTTAGCTCCGGATGGCTTAATCAATATTGATCTGGCTAAAAGCAGTGTTTTGAATAAAGTGATGAGAAGGAAATCACAGGGATCCAGTTCACAGTCAGAGGTCTTGGTTATAGAAAATAGGGGGATGAGTAAGAGTAGAGGTCAGAAGAATAAAGATAAAGGTAGAAGCAAGTCCAACAAGTTTGCTAATGTTAAGTGTTATCATTGTAGCTTGAAGGGGCATATTAAAAAATATTGCAGAAAGTTGAAGAGAGAGAACAAAGAGAAAGGAAATGAGAAAAAGAATGATGATGGCGAGGATGATGATCGAGTTGCCACCATTACTTCCAAAAACTTCTTCATTGTTTATGATGATGATATTATTAATATTGCATACCATGAGACCAATTGGGTTATTGATAGTGGCGGCTCTATTCATGCTATATCTTGAGAGGATGCCTTCACATCCTATACACCAGGTGACTTTGGGACACTAAAGATGGGAAATGATGGCTTAGCCAAAATTATTGGTATTAGAGATGTGGGTTTGGAAATGAATAATGGCAGGAGATTGGTCCTTAAAGATGTAAGACATATTCCTGACATCCGCTTAAATTTGATTTATGTAGGCAAACTTGATGATAAGGGTTATTGCAGCTTCTTTAGTGATGACCAGTGAAAGCTCACTAGGGGTGTTATGATAGTTGCTCAAGGCAAGAAGTTTTCTAATTTGTACGTATTGCACACAATGATCTTCAAAGACACTATTAATTCAATGGAGGATGAGTATGCAGTTGAGTTGTGGCACAAGAGGCTTGCTCACATGAGTGAGAAAGGCTTGACAATATTGGCTAAAAAGAATCATCTGTCAGGAATTAAGAGTGCATCTTTGAGAAAGTGTACTCATTGTTTGGCAGGGAAGCAGAATATAGTTTCCTTCAAGATTTCCCCTTCTTTAAGAAAGCCAGGTATACTTGACTTGATATATTCAAATGTCTGTGGCTCGATGAAAATGAGATCACTTAGCGGCTCTCTTTATTTTGTGACCTTCAAAGATGATCATTCAAAGAAATTGTGGGTGTATACCTTGAGAAGAAAAGATCAAGTGTTGGATGTGTTTAAAAAGTTTCAGGCTTGAGAAGCAGTCTGGAAATAAACTAAAGTGCATTAGAACAGATAATGGGGGAGAGTACATAGGTCCTTTTGATTACTATTGTAGACAGTAGGGTATTCAACATCAAAAGATGCTCCCAAAACTCTTCAGTTGAATGGTTTAGATGAGAGGATAAACATGACACTAGTTAAGAGGGTAAGATGCTTGCTTTCACAGGCACAATTCCCAAGATTCTTTTGAGGTGAAGCTTTGAGTACAGCTAGCTTTTAATATCACACCATGTACTTCTATTCAGTTCGATGTACCTGACAGAGTTTGGACTGGCAAGGATGTTTCTTATGATCATTTACGTGCCTTTGGGTATAAGGTTTTTGTGCATATTCCCAAAGATGAGAGGTCTAAGCTTGAGGTGAAGACCCAACAATACATTTTTCTAGGGTATAACCTAGGTGAGTTTGGCAACAGGTTTTATGATCTAGTGACAAGAAACTAGTGAGTAGTAGAGATATTGTGTTTATGGAAGATCAAACCATACAAGATATTGAGAAAACAAATAAAGCAGTGCCTTAGTACGATGATAGTTTGATTGACTTGGATCTACTTTCTTGGACAGATTTTCCAGCACATGTTGAACATGATGTTTATAATGACCAGCAAAGTCCAAGTGATAGTGATGCTCCTTTACAGATTGAGATTGATTAGTTGCCAGTACCAGAGATACCACCAGATGT